TGTTGCTATTCTCCTTCCCCGCATACATGAACATGACGGAGTGTTTATAATCCCACAATACTATTTCCTGGAGACCCGAATCCATGAACTTTACAAATTGCAGAAACTACAAACGCTTGCAAAAACAGAAGGGGGTTGTTCAGGAAGAGAATAAAGATGAGATCAATAAGAAATGGAAACAAAGCTACATATGATTCTCGGAATAATTTTACTATCAATCGAACAAGAACCGGAAACCAATTATCCATCCCTCTATATACAACAGGCTTCCGGACCAATTGCAGATGATGGGATTGGTCCGGATCAAGTGACAAGTGGCGAGCGCTACGACCAGCAGCAAATGGGTTAGTAGTTAAAAACACACGTTCAGACCCAGATCCTCAAAAACTCTTAACTGCACAGGCAGAGATCTCCTCGTTGATAACTTCTCAGGTCTTGTGGACTGTTTGTTGTCTGAATCACCCGTGTCTCCGAGCGTATCGAAACCCCTCAAAAAATGATTGCCATGAGTTATAGATAACCAAACATCAAAGCTTTTCCGGTCACTCGTTCTTGGGGGGTGAAGGGGGTTGCTCAACTGTAGAGCTCCGATTAAAGTATAAATGAATACCACAAAACTAGAATCAGCTGTCCTCATCCACGGAACCAATGTAAGTCAGCTCAGTTCGTCTGACCCTTACTGCGCCTTTCAGCCAACTGGCGGCTCGAAGATTGACGTGGTCGCTGCTTGACCCATTGCTTGATGGACCTGAACCCGTGCCATCCTCAAGAAGCATCCACGGGTCTATCTCTGTGCTGTCCAGTTCCTGTTGCTGCTGAGCCGCTGGGGTTTGCCTCAGCTTTCCTTGAGCTGTGTTTCCCATTTTTGCCATCGAAATAGAATTTCTCTGAGGTGGAGTAGAAGAAGCTCCAGGGGTGAACCCGCTTGCCAAAGAGGGTTGAAGGAGTGAGAGTGCAGTAGCAGGTACAACAGCAAGAGGCTGGCACATGAGAGAACATCGCTGATACGGGAGGAGGATTGGCATCGCAGCTTGGATCCGCCATCTCACAGTGTCTGGCAACTGCATCCGTTCCAGCTCATTCTGCATTGGCGTAACAAATATTTTCAGATAGACGAGTAAAATACTTTCAAATCTACGTGCCATTTCAGAAGGACATGGAATTTAAGTTCATGAATAGAGTGACAGACCTGCAAACTCTCTGCTGAGTCACGATCAAACGGGGAAAAATCTTTGGGAGATTCATTGAGTGGCTTTGACACTGGCCTCGTCTTTAGCCAGCAGGGTTGGTGATTGCTTAGCAGCCCGTGCAGTACAAACAGAAAGCGGTCAAATAGGGCTTCACTAGCGGAAGGATCAAACATTGATTCCATCTCTGCCTTTGATAGGTTACTACTACAGAATGTGCGAGGAGGGGAGCATACAGTGGAATCTTCATAAACCACTCGGGTCCCAAGCAGTCGGATCATAGTGGAGGCAAGTGTGAGCCTTATGCTACGACTTGAAGGCTCCCTGTAAAACAAATTGTCATACATGATAAGTATCTCAGAGCTAACACTGTATAGTACGAGCAATGAACACAGGAAGGGCTAATTTACATAAAATATTACCAGAAACAGTAACACGATGCCGAAGGTAAAAATGACATGAAACAACGAAGACCAAACATATTATATCTCCCACACATGAGATTAATCAGAGAAGCATGAAGACAAAGTTGTAGAGAAACATGCACAAGCTTTGTCTCATATAAGCAAGCTGAAAGATGGGATGAAAAAGCAAGGAGAGTAAGAGACAGTACCCGCAAATGACAGGCAGTAATCTCAGCAGG